TAAAAATGAGGTTCTACGTCAAAATATCTCATTAAAAATATTCCAACAAGAAACAAAATATCCTAATACCAAATCATCTCTGGATAAATAAACCATAATACAAAATATATCCTTGGAAAATTATTCTATGATTAATTATACTATATAGTACATATTGACAATGAAAAAAGTGTTATTTAGTATACTTTTAAACTAAAAAATATTTTTAAATATTAGTTGCTGAACAATAACATTCCGTATAAATAATTCTCATTTAAAAATAAATTCATACTATAAGTTATATGTGTAATTCATTATTTTAAACTTTTCCAAAGAAATATATAATTCAAAAGATTATGTTTTAAAGTACATAAATAAAGTTAAGACGGTTAGCTTACAAAACACCTTTTTATTATAATAACGATTAACATACTATAACACACATCACTGTTTTAATCAAAACTTTAATAACAAGATTTATAACTAATAGACCTCTATCAAAGTTTAAGTTTTGAATTAAATTTTACGTGGAATATTTTTGCTTTAGAATATTTTAATGTACCGCCTGAAAACGATACTTTTATAAAAATCAACGGATCGAAACACCATAAATCTAATCTCTAGAATATAAAGTTGATAAATGATTGTTGAATCAATTGCATGATTTAATCAAAATATACAGTGGTTCATTTAGAGGTACTATTTTTAAATAGGAATTTATGACTGATAAAATAAAAGTCATATCAAATTGTCATGATATTTTAGTTTAGTGTTATTTGACATTTCATCATGGAGAGACTTAGCCCAGCACAACGTCTACAAATTATTCAACTGTATTATGAAAATCAGCGTTCAACGAGGACTGTTTTTCGTAAGCTTAGAGAAACTTATGATCCGCATAATCGGCCTACCGAATGTTAGGTTAGGTTCGCTATGCGATTGTTAAACTTGAAACTCAATCTTCACTATTGCATAACACACGACCAAATAGGCTTTATCTAGCACGTATCGAAGAGGATATAACGGTGGTAGCTAGGAGTTTACGCGATGACCGTGAATCTATTCGGCGCCGTTCTCAGCAACTAGGTTTGTCGTATGCAACAACTTGGCGTATTTTACTTTAAAACCTTAGTTTAAAAGCATATAACATTCAATTTGTGCAAGATTTGAAGCCAACCGACCTTCTGAATCGTAACATATTCAACGTATGGGGCTCTTGAAATGCTTGAAAAAGATTCACTCACTGTTTTCGACCAAAATGTTATTCAGTGATGAGGCCCATTTTTGGTTTAATGGTTACGTCAATAAGCAAATTTGTCGAATTTGGGATGAAGAACAACCCGGAAAGATTCAAGAACTGCCATTACATCCAGAAAAAACGACGGTCCGGTGTGGTTTATGGACTGGTGGAATTATCGGTCCATATTTTTTCAAAAATGAAGCCGGGTAGAACGTAACTGCAGTAAATAGCGCACGTTATCGCGCTATGATAACGGACTATTTTCTGCCTGAGACTGAAGTCCGTGATCTCAATGACATTTGGTTTCAACAATATAGCGCAACTCGTCATAGAGCATGTGAAACCATAGCTTTATTACGAGAAAAATTCGGTGAACAGTTAATTTCACGATTCAGACCGATTAATTGGCCAAGAGGTGATATCAGACTTTTTTCTTTGAGGCTACGTCAAGTCCAAAGTCTAAATAGCCAAGTCGTCTGTGATAGATGAATTAGAAGCAAACATCACGCACATCATTGGTCAAATACCAGTTGAAGTGCTTGGACGTGTCATTGAAAATTAGAAATTTAAAATATACCATATTAACCGAAGTTACGGCCATCATTTAAAAAGTAAATGTAAATATAGCTTTTTTTAATGATAATAAATATAATCTAATATAATTTTTTTTTTTTTTAAAGTACCTACTTTTAAATGAATCACCTATTATAATAGTGTATAGGTAATATTTACTAAACACTTTTTTTGTCCATCTATACAAACTATTCATATATATATTATATGTATCTAAATTAACATTTAAAAATCAATTAGCTCATATAATTAAATGACTAATTAGAAAAATTTCCCTAATCTTATTTTAATATTATAGAGGAGTGAAAAAAAGAACATTAAAGTAAGTCAATTTATTGTATTTGTAAATATTGATTTTGTAAATGTATAAAACTAATCTGCATTATCTCAACAAAAGAAGTATATTTATTTTTAAAGTAAATAAGTTTCGGAAAAAATATTTAAAAAAACATTGATGGAATATTATTCTTATCATTGTTTCTACTAGGATCAGTTTCAAAGTAATTTTGTACAAAACTATTTTCAGAAAACTGCTCTACGAGTATTATATAGGAAATTATAAATATCGAATTGGACAATAACCTGAAAATTAAACGAATGAAAAAAATTCAAATCTAGAGATATAAATAGAAAATAAACTTGAAGATTTCAAGAGTATTTGTCATAAATGAAACTTTTGTTTATTTTCAAGAAAGCAAATAAAAGATTTTTTCGGTTTATTTCCTTTGTTGTATACAGGGTGTTTCATAATAAACTGACAATTGCAATAACTTTTATTTTATTGAACATTTTCAACTTTTTTTTTTTAATTATCAATTGTCATCCACACTAAATTTAAATTCATTGTTTGATTTCATTTTTTAATTTTGTATATAAGATTAAGAAATTAAAAAAATTTTTATTTGATATTTAAAAAAATCAAAATAGCCATTTTGTTGATATCATTTTTTAAACATGTTCGCAAAAAAAAAATTAAAAAATATTCAGTTGTTTGTTTTCTACGATTTATTGAAGTTTGTACAATTTTATATTATTTCAAATAGATTTTCTGGATAGTCAATGATCGCTGTAAAACTGATAAACAAGAAATTAATTCGAATTTAAGCAAGCCTTAAAAATTTTTTAAAAATTATTGACTTAACCTTAGTAAAAGTTTTTGACTCCAAAATTTTTCTAAAAATCGGATTTACGAAATGGTTATCTTAATTTTTAAATATCGAATAGAAATTTTTTTAATTTTTAATTTTGCACACAAAATGTTAAAAAAGATCAAAAATATTTTAAATATAGCGCAAACAACAATTGAAAATTAAAAAAAAAAACTTGAAAATTTTCAAAAGTTATTGCAATTGTCACTTCTTAGTGAAACACTCTGTATAACTAAATTATTCTAATATACAAGTATGGTTAAAATTAATAAAAAAATTTTGACATTTTCATATAACTACATATAATTCATAATTATGATTGATATTTTAGTTACAGGTTAAATCTGAGTAAAAAGTAAATAAATGAGTTGCTTACGTTTAAATATAAAGTTGCCAGTAATTTTAATGCTATAAATAAAAAAGACGTATGTCTTTGCTGTTTAAATTATTCTAGTAAGAAAAATACATTTCATGTAACTCCATGCCCTTGCAAGACACAGAGTGCTTCAGGCAGTACCTGCACCGGTTGAAGCGCACCTCCGACGGGGCGTGCCTATCGGATACTGTGAAACATACAATATTCGATTGCACACACTAGGATCAACTCCGGAAGGCAGTTAAGACATTTGTCAGAAACAGAAACGTCATCTCTCGAGATTTTCAGTATATTATGATGTGTATCCAACCAATATTATCGCTTGCAAAAATGATCGAGGCAGACTTCTAGCTGCTACCCAACATGCCGCTTAGTCTTTTTATAACATGGTTGAAAGCATATTAGATAGCAAAGAGCAGGACGAAAAGACTGCAAAAGCAAAAATAAAAATCACACCGATGTACTGAGCCCTTCCTCAATGAAGACTGGAGAACGTGCATTAAGGCTGACAGATGCATACGTCACTGAGCTGAGAAGGAGAACAACAGATGATTCTAACGTACGAAGCTAGATAATTGTATACAAGTTATTATGTACTATTTTATGTATTATGTATTGAATTGTATACTACAATCAACGATGGCAGCGCAGGAATGATATTCTTCACACAGATCCTCCTTCGTTATCGATTATCCAAGGTGTATTCAATTGTTTTCATACCAAAACGTTTACTATTATTTAATATCAATAAATAATTAATAAATATAATTACCTGTAAACGTCGATGATCAATGTTAATATCAAGTATAAGGGTGAAAAAATAATGATAAACAATTTAAAAATCATATTACCAGATAATGTACTTATGTTACTTGTATGTAAGTGATGGAGGTCAAAAAGAACCTTAAAGAAAATTCTGGAAGGAAAAATCAATCGAAAAAGACCTAGGGGTCGCTCTAGACAGCACTGGATACATAGGTTTAAGGAAGATTTAAACAAGTGCGCCCAGGGTTTAACTATAGAAGACAGCATAGATAAAGTTGGAAAAAAGAAGTAGAGGCAGCGAAAGTCCTTCAAGGACCGTAAAAGCTGAAGAAGAAGTACAAATATGTAAGTGATGTTTTTATGACAATTTCGTTGATATAAATTACTTCATTTACTTCATTTTGATTGATACTGTTTAAAATAATATTTGACTCGATTTGTTTGAGTCTATAAGCTAATTAATATTGCTTACATCACAAACATTAAACATGAATAAGATAAAAAAATAAAATTGTATTGAGGTTAAGTAAGTACTATCGATTATCAGCATAATTGTCGTTTATTGCTTAGTGTATACCATTTCGCTTACATCAAAAGTATCATTTATGCCAAATAACCTCAATGCTATCAAACTAATTAGATATTAGTGGTTTCCGAAATACACCACATTCATCATACAATAATAACAGAGTAGCAAGTTCTGTAAATATTATTGGGTATATTTTATGTACAAAATGGTTACAACGTAATTACTTCAAAAAGTTTTAGCATTAATTTTTAAATTAATTGTTATTACTTACTTTGGATTTTATTTAAAAAAAAGTTTTTCCTAAATATGGTTATAAAAAAAAATAATAGGTTTGCATAAATATGTGTATAATTTATTCTTAGATTACATTTTAAAATCAAATTAATTAAATTACGTCTTATTTAGAGACTTTGTTGCTGCTGGAGTTGTATTCTGAATGTTTAATTCTTTTAATAACCTAAAAAAAAAAATTAAATACATTTAAAAAAAAATTATAATAATAATAATTTAACACATTATTTGTTACATACTCTTCAACTTCTGTTATAGTGTCCGCTTCTGTGGCTTTTTTCAATATTTTGTTCAACGCTCCAATCACGAACGCTTTAAGTTTAACATAAAAATATAAATTAAATTTTACCATAAATTAATTAAAATAAATATTTTTAATATCAACTTTACTTTGTGAAGTTTTGTTATCTTTTTTACACGCTTCGACTTTTGGTTTTCTTTTACCCAATTCATTCAATTCTTTTATGCATCTGGGTTCTCCAGACTTCCGGTCCATTCGTATGGTAATTGTTTTTAGTTTTTTCGTGATATCGTTTTCGTTAAAATATAAAGCATATTCATCTAATACTTAAAAATTCAAAAATAAAAATATGTTTATTATTATACGGCCCGTTAAAACAAAGATTATAATATATAATTACATTACAAAAATAAAATATAATATCTATAATAAAATATTAATTCACTAAACAAAAATATTTTGTCTTTCATAATATAATATGTCTTGATTCATGTATGACATAATCAAACTATAGAACATAATTTAAAATTTAACAATTACAAGTTAAAGTTTTAAATGAAACTAAATAAAATAAGAAATTAATATATTTTATAAATTTGAGATGAATACAAATTGTAGTACTTAAACTTTATGAAATATAATTTAATTCTAGAAAAAAATCAGTAAAAATTAATTGAATACGTTTAAAAATTAGATAGTTAAAATTGTCTTTTATATAACACCTTACAATATATTAAAAAATAACTTTAAATTGTATAAAGAGTTAACAAATAAATTAATGAATAAAAATTGTAATGTATCCATTTTAATAACAAATTACTTTCAATATGCGCGTTCATACAAATATCTTATATCATGAATAATGTAAGTACTAACTTTTTGAATTGTTCATTGAATCTTTTTTTTCAATGCTTAGTTCCAAAATTTTTGCCTTGTACTGTATGTTATTAATCTTGGAGTAAATTTCTATCATAACTTTTTCTATCGTTTTAACAATTTTACCAATACTTTCTGGGTAATTATAATCTACTTTTAAACATTTCAAAAACTCTAACGCCCATTGCATTTGATTTATGCCTATAAGATACAAAAGAAACAAAATTTGCTTTAAGCAGTTTGGTGATGTTAATATCATAAATTATTTCGGCATATTTAAATTGTATTCATCGAAAAATATAAATAATACATCAATCAAAAACTATCTAACTATAATCACTAAAAAGTATTCTACCACTTTTAATTGTTGTCTCTTTATTGTACAAAGACCACAATACTGCGATCAAATTGTCAAATAGAGTTGAAAACGGCATTTGCAGCGCAAATTGCTTGACGTTACCTCTTACCGGAGCTACTCGAAATTTGTATATTTTGGGGAGTAATTTAATACTTTGTTTACCATGAGTATCAGCTACAGTGTTTCTATAATAAAATTAAGATAATTTAAAATTTATCTACTCAATAAACAAATAATCTTACTCTTTATATTGTTCTCTAAATTGTTCAGTGTCTGCCATTTTTTCACGACGAAAATTTAATTTGTGTCGGGTAATAAATTTTTTATCCGAATATCACGAAATGTGAAAGAAATATTTTTGTTTGCGTTACTATACTTATGTTTTTAATTTTTAATTATGTAGCCAGAAAAAGGAAAGAAATACCACAATTTATTATTAAAAAGAATATACATTATTAAAATTTATCATTTTTATAATATTAATTTAAATAAAATTTAGACTGTAAAATTAACCACATAATTTATAATTTTTAAAATAATATGGAAAAAATAATATACATTTAGTTTATATTATTATAAAATCCATTGAATAGTCATAAATTAAAATTAAACATCAATATATAGGCACTAAATATATTTTTGTGATATATTGTTAATATTTATTGTTAGTAAATTCTTCAAAAACATCATATTATTATACTTATTGCTAATTTTTCAATAAATTCAACACCTTTAAATTGGTAAAATTAATAAAACTTACTATTTTGGATGTAAATTTCAAGTATATGCTCAATTTAATTTTTAATTTTAAATAATGCAATACAGTAATAATATTATATTATATTAACATAACTTTATAGATTATTTATTAAATATGTATTTATAGTATTATATGTGTAACTTAATTTAATTTTAAATAAAAATAATTATCTTGATTTGTATAACAGAATCTCTTAAACAAAATCATTGTTTTCAATTATCATGAAATATGATACTATAAAAGTAACAACAGTATTTACAACAATGTAAGTAATACGTTTACGAATTGTATTATTTTATTTGAAATGAGTACTTAAGTGTACTTTAAAGAATTTTAAACTTAACTAGAAATTCAAAGTAAAATTTACAATTAAATAAAAAAACCTAATAAAATGATTAAAATAAAAAAAATTCTATTGAATCAAATACATTTTGAACAGAGTGGTTTTAGAATCGTAGAGATTGATGAAAAAATAAAGACCTGAAAACAGCTAAAAAGTATAGCAGATAATAAGAAGTAATAATGAATAATCATAGGACGTGGCTAGATAGACAGCAAATCTTCTTTAATAGGATAGTACTTGGTTGAAAATAAAAAAAAAACAAATTGAGGTAGATAGCTCAGGAAATAAATACTAAGGCTGGTAATATAAAAGGTAAATCCAGTGGATAAACGAGAATCTAAAGTAAAATAAAAAAAGAATAAAAAATAAAGACACTTTTTCTTTACAAAAATCAGCAGATATTTGTTCCGAAACATAGTATACTTAAAATTTTTCAAAACAAATAACGCCTTACTCACTCTAACTTTATACGTATGTACCTACAACCCCTATGTGATGCTAGTATTGTAAGCACCCCTACGGCACTTACTGATGAAATAACTTCTAAATACATTTTATAAATAAAAGTTTGATAATAAATGATATTAATAATAGGCATTCCATTATATTGTTAAATAAATAAATTAATTGTAATTTTTTTTTATCGTTCAAGATTAATTAAAATTATTATTTTTTTTATTATTATTATTATTATAACATCATTAAAGAAGAAGAAAACTAATATTTACTATATGTCTATATATACATATATATTTTAATTTTACAACTAAAATATAAAACCTAAAGAATAAAAACAATATATAAAGTGTATTCATTAATAAGATTAAAACTAAACAATATCATTCTAATGACATACTGATAGATAATGTATTTTAAGCAAAAATATTCCCATTTAATTTATGATTCGAAAAATAACTCAAAAAGTCGAAAAGACAAATCATGTTTACATAATTAAAATCGAATGATATTTTGTAGAACTAAAAACTAGTCATTTTTTGTTTAGTGTGTAGTTTAAATTTAAAAAATAAATGCATTTAATAATAATTAACCGATTTTTCATATTACTGTATAATATTGTTTTGCTTAGACATAAAATGCCAAACCAGCTATTATATTTTTTGAAATGCGTTTTTAAATAATTAAAGAAGAAAACATTTGTATTTGAATTAAAAAGTGCCGTGCATGAGTAAAGTAATTTAAAACGAAATCATAGTTATTATTATTAATTATTTTATAAATAAACTAGATAGAAATTACTACTTGGTGAAAATTTTTTTGAACTCTATATAAAAATTTGAGATATAACGAATAATTTAAAAATATGTCATAAAAGTTCAGAACATCTCTAACAAGTTGTATTGCTATTTTTATCTAAATTAAAAAAAAATAATAACGACTTAAAAAAACTTATTTATAACTAAGTTATATACTATTTGCATTCATGTGTAAATTGTAATAATTTTAATAAATTATTTCCTAGGAAATAGTTTAATCTAAAAATTATATTTATTTTATTAAAAATTAATATAATACAATATTTGAGCATACAATTAGGTAACCGAATTATCTTATACTAACCCGTTAATAAAACAATATGGCCTTTCTTTCAGCTAATAACCCTCATTTATTAAATAAATAATTAAATTATATATATATATATATAATTACCCGTGAGTGACCTTATTTTTACACCTTTTATAATTTATTATCAAATTAATTATAGTACCAATCATATTATTTTGTAAATACTCTTATTTTACATTGATTAATACAAAATAAAAATTAATTAATTTTAAGCATTTCTTATCAAAATAATTAAATTAAACAATAGGTAATATTATAATATTTACATTAATAAATAAATATAAGTAGCTACGATTTGATATAATATAACCAACAAGCTTAGTTTAAAAAAAAAATTTAATTTAAATATGAATATTGTTGGGTAGGTTAACCTAATAGATTATACAACGAAATGTACTTAATTAGCATGCAGTTCAAATTAATCAAACTTTTTATAATAAATTTTATATTAAAACTTAATGGTATTCTACATTCATTACAAAATATTTTGAAATGTATTTATTCACGATTATAAGTATTTTTTTTTTTTTTTTATGTAATTTGGCAATATAATAACGAATGTATATTAATACATACTAAAAGTTTTAATACATAATTAATTATATCGATAAAATTTTAAAATGTTTAAAATATTTTTTTATTAATACTTTAAAATGGAAAAAAAAAACAAAACAAAAAAAGTACTAATAGTGGATTAAGATCCACTTATTATCATTTTGGCATGGTGTAGCACTTCGTAACTATAAATAATATAATAGTAACACAAAAACTGACACAGAATACATTGTCAGTTTATTGTCGTTAAAAAACTAAAATACATCTAAAACTAATAATACTTACATACAATATAAGCATATTACATACCTATAAATATTTTAATAGTGAATAATTACCGTCTGATAATAATACTTAATACATATCAAAATCATCTACATATTTGTATGTTGAAAACAATGTTAACTTTTATTTTTAAACGAGTGCTAAACACTTTAAATTATTGAAATACTTCATAATCAGAATCGTAATGATCAATCATTGTGAATATGCTTTTTTCATGTCACGTGTGAAAGAGACAAGTATAATAACAAATAATGACACGATGTAAGTTTTGTTAATCGTAGTTTATACAAAAGAAAATAATCCTCTTGACAAGGTTAAAATCGTAATGTGTAAATAGTTTAATAATCTAATTAATATTTTAATTTTCGTATTAAACAGTAAAATAATGAACAAAACAATAATATTATAGAACGGTAATTAATTTTTTTTTTTGTAAATATCTTAATTTTTTGACAGGTAAAACTTGACAACTGGAAAAATTCATCCACATTATTAATAACGTCAAAAAAAAAATAATACAAATAGCGCGTTATTTAAAAACTGTTTATGCTTTTCATATAATATTGAACAGTTTTAATTATCGTTTAATATTGTCGTAAAAGTTATACGTATAACTCCTTTAATTCGTCTTAAAAGTATAAGAGACATTTATATTGTAATAACAAAACTTTATATTTTTCGATCCAACTGGTTTTTTTTTCAATGACATTTCGTTTTATTTTTTCGAATAAAATAAAGTGTTTAAATTATAATATTATGTAATGTTCTTTATATAAAACAATGTGATATATAATATCATGTTTAAAATACCGACTATTAGATGAGTTTTGACAAAACAAATCATAGCTATTAATTAAAATTAATAGTATTAGATGTTCCATAATATTATTATTTTCCCATTCGTTCTTCAAATAAAACATTTTGTTCTTTTGTTCTTTCACTCAACTACAATTAGTAATAAACAAAATCCATTGCTACACAATATCATTGAGTATATATACTATATATACTCAATGATAATATTTAATAATAATATATACAACAAGAGTAACTCTTATATAATATGCAATATTATAATTCTGTTGTTAAAATGCTCATCGACTATGATGACTTACAAAACTTACACACTAATACTACTTGCAATGTTGTCGCAACGTAAACCACATAATATTTATGTTATACAAATGTGCGTGGTCTGTAATAAGTTAAGTTCATGTTATCAATTATTACTCTATGGTTATTAGAGGCAAAATGTACATGCGATACATCTCATAATGTAGCTTAATACTATTAAATAACCAATGTATACTTAATATATTATAGACATTGTTATTTTTATTATTTGTGTTATAAGCTTCGCGTGCGAAAAACGATGCTTTCGAGAGCTTTCATGCTACACCCATATGCATACGGCCATGATATTATCACGTACGATGCATGCGTATTTTAACTTTATAGTGTTATACACTTATACTTAGGTACTTATTAAGCCATAACACTCTACAGTGTGTCTCAAATAATGTACGATATACGTGTGGATACTATCTTATGATTTTTTTTTTTAAATCTTTTGTGAAATGTGTATTGATAAGTACATAGTTAATATTAACCGAGACAATATCGATGTATAAAAAAAGTGTCAATAATATCACATTAATTATACATTTTAAATATTAAATCACACTAAACTTTTTGTTGAGATTATTAGCAGAAATGTGCCGTCTAAACTTCAGCCATCACAGTTAATTATATT